TATGTATACCCGCATTGATATAAAGTGGGTGGACAACATGTTAGGAACACAGACGTCTCTCATTCAACCACACCACAAACTGCAACCTCTAAAATAAAGCAGAATGAACAAATATGAACCTTCATGAAGGTAGGATTTACTGCTGCTGTGTTTGACTGCAGTAGTTTAGCTACATGTTGGTACATACTGTAATAAACTGTCCCTGCAGACATTTGACCAGACACCCAGAAACCAAACTGCATTCAGATGATAGAACAAGCTGCCGGCCTTGGTTGTCTGTGTCACTTGAGCCCAGTTATTAAGTAAAATAAAGTTCTTAAGATTAGATTTTGAGACAGGGTCACAAGATCCATAAGTATAGTGTACTTTAGTGGTAGTAATTAAAAACAACTGTCACACAGTGAACCTGAGGTGTCTGGATCCCCAACTATGCCGAATGTGGTAGTGGTGCTAAACTAAGGAAGCATAAACTGCACACATACATAAACAAGAGTTCTCAAATATAAATATTTATTGTGATTGTTGTCTTTATGATCTACAGTCAGGATTAATAGAACACTTTGTGTAAACAATAACGTGAACAATTATTTAAGATGCTAGAACGAGGGCAGTAAGTAACAATGTGCATCAGCTAAATTTAGTCCCATTTGTTCTTTAAAAATATGTTCATTTTAATATGCTTTAGGATAGGAAGTGCAAATATATAGCTTTCAGTAGCAACATTTATAAAGTGTGGATAACAAATTAAAGTTTCCCTGGGTGAGATATCAGCATTGTGAAGGTTACAATAAAAAGCTACATTCACTTTGTATGTCAGTACTCTTGACATGATTCTTTAAGTTGTGGTGCAGATTGTCACAGGAAACAAAAAACACAAAACACAGACACACCCCAAAACACTGGAAATATGCCAAAACCAACCATCAGCTCTACAACTTATAGTATGCTGGTGGAACAGTATTTCCTGCCAATAACTCTGTGCACTATTGTCATTAAACAATTTACAACTGAATACGAGACAGTTTAACTGCAGTATCATTTGCAACAATCACAATCCTTGTAGTGACTCAGTTTTAGGCACGCAATGTTTTTATAATATGATATAGTAGTTGGAACATAAGGTGTTGTAGGACATTTTCTGGCAGCAGTATACAGTGAGCAGAGATATTAACTAACAAAACTGTAAACTAGACGGTCAAAACAATACATGCCACCTTATTGATCAATCAAAATGGACAGAAATTGTACATTTACCACAGTGCAAACCTAAAATAATGCATATTTTGTCAGTATCTGTGCACAGTGACTCTGCTCAGAGGTGTATGTTGATACAGAGGTATGTTATTAGCCGATGGATCAAAGACTGCTGCTTCAGCTCTTCCCCATCATCTTCAAGAGAAGCTATGGAGGAAAGAATGAACACCACTGAGTTAACAACAAATAAAGTTATATTATTCAGAAATGCTTTTTGGAAAAGCAACTAAAATGGTTGGATATTTAATGAAAAGATGGCGGACAGTTTCCAGGATTATGTCCTGGAAATCCGCAGTTCAAGCAGGTTTTGACTGTTAGTCCCATCAAATAAAGTTCATTCTCATAATGTCAGCTCCAAGTTGTACATTAATACTGGACATTAATATTATAAGGCTATTGGTCAGAGAAAGAAAAATGAAAGAAAATAACAATAGTTCAGTGTGTGTACCTTTGTTAGGTGATACTCCCCATCTACCAGTTGCTCAATGATACTGAAGTGGTCTGTGTTGGCCACATCCTCCATGGTCACATTAAGTCCTGATGCCTCCAAAGTCTTTAAAGCCAGAAGAAAGAGGTTAGAATATAGTACATTACACATACATATCTGAACATATCTGAACATAGCAATAAACTAACTTTGTCTCAGTTTGTACAGCAGAATGATGTTTTCACTAACAAATGAGAGGTCACAGTAAGACCAACTGCTAGAAAACGGACCCCCAAAAAATGTGGGTACTTGATTAACTGATTGATTCAAAGTTTTTTAATAAAAAAATGGAAAAATGGAAAATGTGTGACTTTAGTCTGTTTTACACATTCTATATTGAGTATTTTTGGGCTACGGACAAAACAAGTGATTTAAAGATGTTAACTTCCACTAAAGAGTTTTGGACCACTAACGCAATGTTTTTAAGAGTAGGTTCACATTTTGTTTGTACTATAACAAAAATGGATGAAACAAGGATGCATCTGCACAGGAAACACATTCCTGCCACTGGTTTTAGCCTGTTGCATGGTCCACAGTTGGCAGTAGTAACACACAAAGAAACACAACAATGTGCCAACAATGGCAGTGAAGAAGAAGGATGCAGACTGTTTGCAAGAAAACTCCACAATAAATAATTCCATTCGTGCTCCATCAGCTGCACTGACTTTGTAGTATTCTTCGGACTGCTTGCGAAACTCCGGCGAGTCGTTCTCAGCGACGGCCACAACGATGTGGCAGCTGGAGGAGGAGAGTTTCAGCTGAGGGACCAACTTGCTGGGGCTGTTCCTCACCGCCACCTCCCTGCCAACAGGAGACAACAGGGGGGGGGCAGAGGAGTCAAATACGGACTGGCACGACAAACCCGCAGAGAACAATTACACAAACACAAAGACCTTTACACACACAGTCCTTCTCCACAAGGACAATCACAGCACTCAACACAATGCTCTCCACACAGTTCATTTACATGCACACACATAAAAAAGGATTACTGCAGGGTTTCTCAGCCTTATCTGGATCTTGATCTCATTTTCAAAACCTAAGCCGTTAGATTTCTCAAGCTGTCGTGAATTACAAGAAGCTCAAAATGCATTATTCTGAAAAGATTATACAAGTCAAATCTGTTTTTATAAGAAATATAAAATGTCAAAAATATGTATGCATTAAGAGTCTTTGAAGTCTCTACCAAACAAAAGTAACTCCAGCCCCAAAACTGAGAAACTCTGGATTATTGTGACTAATCAGGTTAAGAAAGGAAACTGAATTATCTCTTAACATGTTGTAAGAGTCTGATTACTGTAAAACCCTGTTTATCTGGTCAGTAATCGGATTATACCCCTCCAACAGAACTCCACCGATTTACCATTGCACTCCTAAAGCATTGTCAGACTCACGAGAGACCTTTAAGAACAAGAAGGAACAGAACCAAAAGAGCAGGACCAGCGATGTTGTCTGCTTGTTTTACAGATATTCTTCTTCCTTGTCAAAACCTGCTGCCTACATTGCCCACAATGCAACTCAACTGCCAACAGTCCCATCAGAGATTCAGGTGTGTCATGCTAGTTGCAGCTACTGTAGCTTCAAGCAGAGATCTGGAGCGGGCTACAGATGTCTGGTAAGCGAACTTCTTTCTAACTCCGCAAAACCAGATTTTTCTTTTCATATTCAAACTTTTATTTTAGCCCCAACCGATGCTGACTCAAGTGACATCACTTGCGCAGCTCTCTCTGAAGCCACAAAAGTTTTTTTCACATGTAATACTCTCTAAAACCTCTAAACAGACTTGGATGTGTTAAATCTGTGGAGTTCCCCTATAAAAGGAGGTAAAAATGACCTGACATCTTCATTTTTAATTATTCCAAATTAAAATGGACTGCTTGGAACAGATCACACACATTGTTTGCCCTGCACTAGAGGTACAGTCACATGCACTGCCGTAAGGAACATACTCTGTCATCTTCAAAGGCTCGTTGACGTAGGTGGACAGGATGGGCAGGAGGTCATATATGCCACTGACAAGGAAAGCACCTAGAACACAATTAGAGAAAAGACATCGGTTTTTCAGCACTTGTGTCTAAATCTTGTAATTTCAAGCATCTTGGTTTCTTCCTCAGTATTCTGTTTGTCAGTCATAATGCGGCAATGCATTTTCTCCATCTCTACCACTCATCCTGTTTCACCTAATGGATCTTACCTTTGATCTGAGGTGTAATGCTGTACTGCGACCAGTCAGTGGAGAGTACCATTGCAGCCAGGTGAGCCCCAGCAGAGTGGCCACACAGGTACAGACCACTGAGGGAGAGGTCAGAAGGACACACAGTATTATGTGATGGTGGGAAGTTTCATGTTATGCATTACGATGAACTAACTTGAAGCAGGGGGATAATGGTTCATAGAACAGACGTGTACCTGATGTGAGAGTACTGCTGAATAACAGACACGACACTCCTGCGTACTTGAGACACCATCAGGTCCATGTTACCTGGAATAAAAGGGGTACAGGCAGAGGACTGACACTCCAGATTAATCTTCATAAAACCTTTCCCCCCAAGAAGAGAAACAATTTTGTCTGAAATACAAAGACTCTACCTTTGGGGGCGATGTCATAGCCGACGGCAACCACCACTACGCCTTTATCCACGAGTGGAACAGCCATGAATCCCGACTCCTCCTTACTGTATGAACACAAAGCACCGACATGAAAAAACCTGATGGAGAAATCCAAATCTGCATTGCAATGAGCAAAGGACTCTACCTGAGAAACTGCCAGTAGCCTCCATGCAGGTAAATAACAAGATGGACATCTGAAACAGAGCAAATCAGGCATGTTAATCCTCACACGTTCCCTATGCCTCTGCATGACAGCGGGGTGGGGTTGGGCTATCATGGGAGTCACACATGTCCGTACCCAAAGAGTTGGTGCTGGGTATGTAGACATCCAGTTTCTCTCCATCTCCCTCCCCATATGGCACGTTGAGCAAGGTTTGAGCGAGACCACGGGCGCGCTCAGTACCTGGACACACACGGTATCAAAGCATGACACTCCAGTGGAGACGAGGGTGAAACAATGTGATAATTCATACAGTGAGACAATATAAAATGTGTGTACTGTCGAACACTGCTGCAAATCCATGTGAGCAAAATTGGACTTTAGCATCAAACTGATGAAGTTTCTTGGTTTGTTGAATTGTTTAATTCATTGGTTTAGACAACTATATACGTTCCCTATACTCGTTTTATCCATTAACAGTTTTTCATGGGGCACCATGGGAGCCCAGGGGGTTGAGGCGCTGACCATGAACGGAAACGTCCTCAATTCAAGTCTGGATGGGGACCTTTGTTACATGCCCCCCCCCACTTCCTGTCATCCCCCTGCTGTCAGTTCTCTAATGAAGGCATGAATGTTATATCTCATTCATAATCTAGTTTCCCCTTACACAGAAACATGTTTAATCGTAGTCCAAATTCTATACAAAAAAGAGGGGCAACATATTTTAGAGGCCCTCATTTCCAGTTCCCCCATTTAAAGATCTGCCACAGTATTCTCACCAAATTCAGTTTACAGCACACATATGTCCAACTAAGTAGGGGTGGGAAATAGATTTTGTTGCTTTTATTGTTTGTTTTTTTTAAAGTAATGTTTACACTCTCCATAGATCAAGCTGTTCAACAAAACTCATTAAGAACTATCACCAATATGTAGGCTATAACTTACAGACTTAACCTCACATACAGTCTCATATTTTGGCAGCTTGCGTTTTTAAAGTCAAAATATGTTTTTAAAAAAAACCTGTATCCTCCTCTCTCTACTGGGTACTGACTACAGACAGGGAAACACATCATCATTTGTCAGACACCTGTGCTCCTGCCCGGCCTGCCTGCTCGCCTCAGCCGGGTTTCTGCGCATTGTAGTTAGCGTCTAGCTTCAAAACAGACCGACCTTCCTTTAAAGCCTTCACATGAGCCTTGATCACGTCGTCTGCCGACATCCTGTGCGACCACTGGCTGGGTGAATACTGCCTCTCAAGCTCCTGTCACACGGAGAGACGCTGCTGTCAGCCGGGCGGCCATGAAAGCCGAGACACCCACCACCATGAGCCGGTGACATAAACAGTGTAAGCACGGTAAACAGCGCCCCCCACCTGCTACCACTAACTCTCACAGTGACTGCCTTCATTTTAAATAGGAACAATTCAATGAAAAAGTCCAGTTATAAACTCACACTATATATATATATATATATATATATATATATAAATAAATATATATGAATACTTGGAAAGAAGTGAATAAAAAAGTATAAAGTGTATTTTTT